GTAGTATCTGCTCATAAAACACTAAAAACAAAACACTTTGTCCGTTCCTGGAGTAAATACTTTCCATTCGTGCCATGTTAAATTCAAACATGCAAAAATGAGAATCTAAAAAGTCTTTAGTTATTATACAAATTGTCTTTTTACTTTCATGGATACCACGTGTGATGTTGTGATTTATTTCTTCACCAGGAACAAAATCACGTTGATGAATACATAGCTTTAGATTGCTATTATGTTCTATCTGTGGTATCCATTCATTTATAACAAAATCTTTGTCGGTGTCAGCATAGGATATAAATGCATTGTAGGTATGGTCGATTCCTGTGTTCAAAGGTGTGTATTGTGTGTATCTACTTTTTGTCATATAATACATATACCTTATTTTCCAGCGGTACCGATAAACTAATCCGAAAACTAAGGCAATACATGCTGTAGATATGGCAACAGAAATGCATATTATAAGAGCAGTATGACTGGCGCATTCTTTTTGGAGCTGAAGGGCTATTTGTTCTATCTGCCCTAAAACAATAACGGTTCCATTGTCAAATTTGCATTTATAAATTTGACTGTAAAGAAAATTTCGAGAATTGTCAGCAATCCATTTTATGAAATATTCCGAGTGGCAGCTACACTGTAAAACGTTCGCAGATAGATCAATCTTCAGATTGTTTGTCTTGATTAGAGTTGTCAATGATGCAATTGTCCTCTTTTTAAAAATGCTTATTTTATTACTTGATAGATCTAGCCACATAAGCGCTTTTAAACTTGATACATCAAAAGTAATGTCTGGAAGGGCATTGTTGCTAAGATTAATCTTTTCTAACATTGAGTGACCGTGAAATATTGAAAAATTTAACATATGAATGTAATTTAATGACAGATTAATTTCTTTCAAAGCTGTTTTGTTGCTGTCCATGTATGTATTAGTTGCAAGAAACTGTCCCAAATCATTGCCCTGTAAATCAAGCCGTGATAAATGTGCCATATTGTATCGGATTTCTTTTAAATGGTTGTCCGAAAAATCTAAAACTTTAAGTGTTGTGGGAAATTTTCCGAATGGATAAAATGTAGCAGGTATTGCTTTTATAAATCTGTTCTTGTTTAGAAGTAACTTTTGTACTCCTGTATTGTATAAAAAATCGAAAAACGGTTCCGGTAAATCAATTATTGTAGGCAGTATATCGGTCATAACTAAAGTTTCGACTGAAAATGCTCCGAAATCTGCGATGAAGCGCCAGAAATCGGTATAACTCAACTCTACCGATGCCAGACTTAAAAGTTTCAACTGTTTCCCACACATTGCACATAGTATATACGATTTCACCAAACATCCGTTTAAGTTGATCGAATCAAGATAAGGTAGGTCAGCAAACGTGTTGTTACTTAGAGTGGTCAGGCTACAGAAATCTGTTTTCATTTTTCTTAGCGAAGTTAATTCTGAAAACTTTCTGCCAAACGGCACAGACTTCTGTCCAGAAGCTATTATATCTAAACTTATACTTTCTAACGACGTTAATTCTGAGATAACATCGTCGGGAAATTTGAAGTGGTGATTGGTGTTGTGCATATTGTTGGAACCTACATCTAAATATACTAGTGATGACAAAGGCATAAAGATTTTACTCGGAAATGATTTGAAATTGTAGTGTAAATAGTTATTTCTTAGCATTAACCGTTTCAAGTTTTTAAGTCCAAAGAATGCCTCTGGTTCTAATTTAACCAGAATATTGTCGCTTAAATCAAGTTTGATTAAATGCCTTAGATTTTCAAAAGATCTGTTTTGGACTGTTTCGATAGCGTTACATCGAAGATCAAGTATACATACGTTCGATGGAAATATTGGAATTTTGTCCAGTACAATCCTACATGTTACTTCTAATAAATCTGTTTTATTCAAACAACGACAACGCTGATCAAATGGACATGGATAGGCACTTTCATGGTAACTACAGTCAATACTCTTTATCAGTAATATCATCACCAAAAATATGTTGCCGAATTCCATATTTTCCTGCAAAAGTTTATAACATATTTGTAGTATAAAGGAATGTGTTTCCGTCTTGAGATTCATTTAAGTTTAATCATTTCTCTATTTTTTTTTATCTTTGGTTAACAGGACTTTTACATTCGGAAGGTGTGAATATGAATTATCTATGACATACAAAACAGAATATTTTCTACATCATGGCAAAAAGGAAACGGAAAGGGAAACTTAAAAAAAACAATCTTTGTCGCTCTTTCGTTTGATACTAATTTCAATTATATCTAAAATAGAAAAAACATTTAATCGAAAATAACATTTTAAAAGAATAAGTAACATACAAGAATGCACTTACGGTTCATTTGTTCCTGTTACATTCAATTGAATTTGTTATCTTTGATACTTGTTCCGTTAAAACGCCAACAAGGAATTTAAATGGGAAGTGCACATAAATAAAAATATATTATAAGTCTTCTTCCTCTATGATACTATGCTAAAGTACATTGCACTTTGGAACTTGTTTTAGTTTTAACAACGTATAAGGAAGGTTCGGTATCACCCTAATATAACTTGTCTACAAATAGCATTTTCAAAGTGGAATTTGTACCAAACATTTGTATCATCTCAACCAACATTATATAGCGAAATAAAACAATACCTATATCTTAGACCTATTTAGTTAATCTGAATACCTTACCGAAGGCTTAATTAACACGCAACTTCACATCATATTCAATAACAAACAAGGTACCAAGCTGATAAATAGTTCGATAATGTTTTTAAACTCGTAATAGTATTTAATTTATAGAACGTATTTCATTCAAACAATTAAGGAACCATCTACGAGAAAAACTATTTCTGACGGTCTGGTTGTAATGTTTATCACAGTTTACCAAGCTAAACTTAACCTTTGCTCAAAATTGATTGATTGATTGTTAGAGTTTTAACGCCACTTTTAAGCGCCACATTTGGGCTATTTCGTGGCGGCCAGTTTTTATTGGTGGAGAAAGCCGTAGTGCCCGGAGAAAACCACCGACCTTCGATAGGAAAACTAACAATCCAAATCAATTAAGATTGGAGTCGAGTGCAACCGCACGAGCGGGGTTCGAACTCACAACCTCAGTGTTGACTGGCTAGTGATTACAGTAGAACTACTTAGACCACTTGGCCACCGAGGCCCCTGCTCAAAATTGAAAATGGAAGTAACATGTAGTTTGATAAAGCAAAAAATATCATATCCATCACCGATTGGCCTTTATGTAAACTTAAAATGCATTTCGTGAGTATGTATAATTTATATACTCCATTGTATCACATGTTCATTTTCTTTCAGGTCCTGTCCCCACGTGTGCTTAGGAAGAGAAATATGGTCACTACAGGCAGTAAAACCCTTGCCAAAATGGGGTGTCCGTTTGGCTGTGCGGGATTTACAAGATGCCTCGTGTAGAGAGAGCGAGAGTGCCACGCTCTGTGCACGTTAAGAACCCTTGTAACAACTCTTTGAGGAGTCCGTAAGTGGCCTGTTGCAAGGCAGAATTTCTGTCCCTATTCAATAAATCCTCATTTTCAAGGTGGTCTAAATTCCCCGACCTTGTTAAGGAGTTGCAATTACAAACTGGATACCCCCTAAATAAAGTAATGGCAAAGTCCATACTTTGGTAAGGGACCCCCAACCAACAAACAATCCTAAAGATAATACAAGAAGGATCACAATCGCTTTATTTGGTTAAGTTTTTGAGAAAGTTTCATTAATTATGATTTAGGATTTAGAAAAAGCAAATGTGTACTATAGTGTTCAGATATGACGAAGCCCTTGTCATCTTGAAGTAAACCCATACAAATATTTATATGAAAATATGAAATAGAATGTTCAAAATCATGTTAGCATGATCATGTGAAAGTTTTACAAAACTATGTCAAACGGTTAGTAGTTGTGGATACAAAAGTTGGAAATTAGACGAACAAAATGAACGGACGATCAGTTGGACAGATCAACAGGTCGACGGACACTATCACCACTTTATACCGGGCGCTTTAGACGACGAGATTGTATTACCAGTTAGAATTCTAAAAGTTTCTAAATCCCCCAAGGGTATCAAATATTAGATATTAAGAGCAGAACACACATCTAACGACAACACTAGTAACCCAATTTTGATCTGATACGGCCATGTTGATCCGAACGGCTCTTAAGACTGAACATTAAATTAGTAAGTCATGTCCCGTCTATCAGTCAATTTTCAGTAGTAGTTATATATTTACCTGTACAAATCAACAACAGACGGAATTTTCTGAAAAGCTTATGAACAGTACTGAATTGACTGTAAGCAAATATCTGAACAATACTGAATTTACAACAGGAAAGTATCTGAAAATTCACTTAAACTCTAAACAAGAGTTCATGTTTTTTGTTTGACTATTGCTACAAAAAAGAAATACTGGCATAGTCATTGTGGTTACTATTATAACGCCAATTAAGTGTTTAAATCAATTAAAAAAACAATGGCCAACTTTACTTCTGATGTATTTCGACTATTCATAATAGTTATACTTCTGCTTTGAATCTGTAATAGAGGCAAATCCATGTTCTGCAATGTGTCCACTTGAAATTTACACAATACTTGAGTCTGTCACTTATCTTGACTTACATCTAGAAATAGACAATGCTGAACGTTTGAGAACATAACAACTTGCCACAAAAGAGAGGATTTCAGATTCAAATTGTGAACATTCCATTTCTATGCAGCTCCTAAATATAGAGTATATGTCATCTCCCAACTGTTGTTATATTCCAGAGCTTGTGTTTCCTATCATGGATTTTTTGATAGAGGGTTGCTGCTTACAAGGAAGGTTTTGAACCAAGATTTCAAGTGATAAAGTTGAAGTCATCCCTTTGAAAGTTTCACGGATGCCATCAGGAGGTGGTTGACTGTTATGGAATATATTCATCAGGTTTACAATTGTAGATTTAGATGTACTCATTATTCATTTGGTGTGGCATAGAAATAAGAATAGAAAATGAAATATAACAGTGTGTATTTATTTTTTTTTAAACAAAAGTAATCAACAATAAAGTCTAATTAAAACATTGATAAACCATGGGCTTTTAAAATCATATACATGTCAATTTATAAACTATGTAAAACATGGTGTGATTAAATAAGTTCTTAAACTGATATCTTGTATTGCACTTTGTGAATGCTTGAATCTTTTTTCTCTTATTTTACACTAACATAATCATGTTCAACTGATTACTGGAAACCTTGTAGTCTTTTGAAGATAACTAACCTCATTACACTGCATCTCTTATTCAAGAATCATCCATAGTTATTCATATGAGGTTCTATAACTACCAACAACAAGACATGTCATTAAAGCATTTACTAATAGACCACTTTCGAGTTATGTCCTTCACCGGAAAAGTTCGTCAATTTTGTGTGCCTTTGTGACGTCATTTACCAGATAGAGGGGATCGCCTGTATCCCTGCTCTATTAAAGTTCATCAAGCGTCTTTGTGATCGTCAATATGCAGGATAAAATATAAATAATATTTGTTTCGTAAGTACTAAATCACAATTTCCTAATGATAGCAGTGCTGATTATCAATTATAAGAATTTAATTTGCAGAATTCGTGCAATGTAGCATTATAATTTTTTCAACCAATCGCTCAACTTAGAAACGGAAGTGACGACGCCCTTAACGCACAAATGATGTTCACTAAAACCAAAGTTTTTGACGGAAATGCAACGAACTCGAAAGTTGTCTATTAACACTGATTATAATTAAAATACTCTTTTACATTTATAGATATATTACAAAGTCAAAACTGAATAAAAGTTAGATTGACTTGTATGTTTGATGTGTGTTAGTGCACAGATCAGTTTAAACACCTACACAGACCACATGAGTGCATCTGAACAGTACAATATTTATTCCAATAGAATATGTCTGAAAACAATGTGGTACAATCAACATGCATTCCTGTTTTCAGTGTCATCAATGTCACAACCTACATGTATGTATACATGTTTAAATAGTTCATGTTGTATTGTAGACTCTATAAGAACTTTAAAATTCATACTCTTCGCAATTACTTGTTCAACATGAGTAATCAGTATCAAATTATAGAAATATGCAGATCATGTTAGTAATAAAACTTTACTCATTTTCTCCACACTTAAATGCCTTAAAGCATATCAAGATTTTCTTGAGAACAATATCAAAAAGAAACAAAACACGACAATATTTACAAACAATAGTTTTTATATTCTAACTGCTCTTTGCTATTGTTAATAAAAAAAAATCTGCATAAATTTTATAAAACTATAAAGTTAAACTAAAACAACAGGACAAACCATCTTGTGCACTCTAAAAGATTCCTGAACACATGCCTTTTCAAAATTGGTATTATTTTGTTAAGTTAAATCATCAATTTAAATTTCCCTACCAAATGCATCTCTCTTACGCGTACAACGAAGACTGGTATATAATTAAGATAATTATATTTCTCATTCTCACATTATTTGAGTAGAAAACATATTCAACTCCCTAGAAAAGGAAAATATAGTTAACTCTATTTTTTATCACTCTTAAGTACTTTCAGCAGATCATCATAAGTTTTATTATTTCTTCGTTTGGGCTTGTGTTGGTATCGGTACACATTGTCCATCTGACGGTACTTTAAAGACATTTCTGACTGTGTAAATGATTTTACATCAATTTTTCTGCTTTCAGTCATGTCCTTTCTTCCTGAAACATGAGTAAATCTATAGCGTATTGCACCTCTCTTAGAATTCATTAGATTTTCATTTAAAGCTTCAAACAAAGATTGTTTTTGTATTTTTCCATTGGTTTGTAAATGTTCAACTTTTTCTTCATATATTTGTGTAAGTTCCATGTCTTCTGACTTGTCTACAACTTCTTTCAGAGCTTCAAGCTGAAAATAAAAAAACATTTGACTAAGTTTCAAACTCAGGCTATCATCAATTAATCAAAAAGAGTTAAAATCATGTTTAGAAGTCTTTTAACTACAATTTCATTCAAATGAAATATTTGCAGACAAATTAAGTATACTTGTTTATGGAAAAAACCTATGCATTCAGTATACATTTTTTCTTGATTAAATGAAGGCTTACACAGTCTGGGAATATAAACAATTCTTGTTCCACAGTTCCTACAGATGTCATCCGTACTAGTAGATCTAATGCTTGATTTGCTTTGTTCAATTTTGACAGTATTATTATCTGAAAATGGAAAAAAATTAAGTTTACACTAAATAATGTATTCATTTTACAATTGCTTTTTTGTAGTGTTGTCAACAATTATTCGGTTAACCGGTTAACAGTCGGAAGGACCGAATATCTAATACCAAAAACGCTAACCGGTTAACCGGACCTTTTTTCAACTTCAAAAGATTTGATATAGATGTGTATTAAAAACAGTAAATGCATTTTGTTCAATTCTAAAATGATTGTCGTGGTAGTTAATGTGACAGATCAATTTCCAGTATTTTGATTGCTATTGTTAACCTCGAAAACATAAAATTAATTAGCACAAAGACAACTTATCTATGAGCTTAGGGTGTGACAGAATATAAATTCCCCCATAATATTTGTTCCAAAGAACTTTTATCATATAACAAAAGTTCCATTTGATGTTTTAGTTCCAGGAAAATATCTAATGAAGGTGGAAATAATTTAATGTTATATTTGTACCCAAGAACTTTTATTATCCATAGTTTTGTTCCAGGGGGAACAAGTATTATGTGGAACAAATATATTTTCACAGGGGCAAGATCTTAAGTAAACAAAATCAGCATACATGTTTAATAAGTTGTAAGCCGATTAAATTTTACGATTTACTTATTTTGTTCATTTTTTATTTAATATTGTGTACATCTAAATATGCCACCTCCATCGTCCAAGGCTTTGTCATACTTTAAACAAAATTCCGACTCAAAAATGGTGAAATCATGCGAATCAACGTGAATGGAACTAATGCATACTGGATCGCCTAATCATCTCATATTGAACACTCCACACTATCTTCTGTGGCATCAGAGGAAATGAATCAATCAACGGTTTCAGACATTGTCAATTCGAAGAAATCAAGAAGATTTTCATCTTCTCAATATGAAGTTATTTCAAACGTCATAGTAAAAACGGTAGTATTGGGTTAATAAAAGTAAAACTTCATTAAGAATGCTCAAAGCTAACCATTATAATGCCCAAGGATAAACTTGGTAATCGTATCATAAAAACGCACATTTGTAGGGTACTATATACAGTCAGAGCTCTGACATAAACAAGTCAGAATAAAATGACTTCCATAGGTCAGATATAATTTGATGTAAGTGTTGTCTCCCTTCTTGCACTCAACAGAATATGACTTGTACAGGTCAGTTTATGTCAGACTTTAATTTATCATAAAATGACTTCCACAGGTCAGCTTTTGCACAAAATATTGTGACTTAATATCTTCATATTCTAATAAGATTTATGCCCCTTTTTAATGCACTTTGACTTCGAGAGGTAATTTTTGCTCTGATTTGAAGCAGTCATTACTACCACTTTGTTATCAATCTCCATAAAAATATGGTGATTACTTAATTTACTAGTTTCGAATTAAAGACTGAGGAAATTAGGTCCCCATAAGTCACAATAATGAGGACTATAAAAAAGTTTATTTGGTATATTCAATATTAAATGTATTTTGTTTTAAACAGGTCAAATCATGTTCTGACTTAAAAGAGTCAGTCCAAAACTAAAATAAATTTATTGAAATATTTAAGCCGGGCATTGCAGGGCTTAAAGGAAGTACACCTAGCTTTGATTGGAAATTTTGTTCTGCAAATTGACTTAAACAGGTCAAGTCATGTTCTGACTTTAAAAAATCAGTCAAAAACTAAATTTATTGAAATTATTAAGTCAGGCATTGCCATTTGATATTAATTTCGGGAATTTTTCTCCTTTTGACTGATTCCTACATGTTGTATGGGTGCCATAACTATCACTACAATTCATGTACAAAGTCAGCACATTCTAAGGGATGCCATCAAAAGACCAATGTAGGATAAAAAAACTTAAATCAAATAGTTTGGGGGTGGGGGTGGGGTTAAAGTTGCTGCAAGTTTTGTTTATCCAAAATCGATTTTACATAAATCCATATTGGTCAATCAATCTTTCCCAAATTAAGTTAAGAGGGGGGTAGGTGGGTCAGTGAAAAAACTAAGTTAAGAGGGGGGTAGGTGGGTCAGTGAAAAAACTATGTGATGTGAATTAAGTTTTTTATCCTACATTGAACTTTTGATGTCGTCCCTAATGACTTGACCTATTACAGTATTTCTGTCTGAATTTTGTATGAATATTCTGTATTTACTAATTTAACTACATGTATGTGATTGCAAGTGTATTAATTAGCTTTGTTTATTACTTATATTAAACTAAACCTCTATTAATCAATTATCTTTACTCTGGTTATTGATTATATAAGAAAAACTCTGCCTATTACTATATGACTGTAATCTAAACTCTGATTGTTAACATCCTGGATTGCATATCTGCATGACCATTAAACTCATGGTATGCCCATTTTATTTGAGGATATAAAAGTATTTTTTTTTCAATATAACATTTTCAGACACATTGAATCTGTGAAGACAACTTTCAATTTGACTTTAGAAATTAAAGAGTTTGTAAGCAAAATGTTGGGGAAATTTAATTATAATTAAGAATATAATATGTAGAGACAACAACATCTGGGTTACCGCAAGGTGATAGTTTTATTGAGTCTACATGTTTCGCCACTTACGGTGGCGTCTTCAGGACAATTTAAACATAGAAAACAAATACTGAAGTACATAAAATGCGGTGCATATGGGGTTACAAAGGTTAACAAGACGTAACGTCACAATAATTGATTTGACAACTTTAAAATGAAAGTGAAAGTAAAAGTTAATAATGCATGGTCAGTGTCTTTTCCAAAATGGACAACACCTCACAGGACATTCCGTACCATTCCAAAAGGCTTCACTCGGAAAGAGGTACTACTTCCAATTGCGTCGGGAATGTTGTAAGATGTATGGTAGTCGCACATGTAGGGCATGGTGGAAGTTGTGGTGAATTGGTTACATTTTGCGGTTGTGGTACACTATCCATGTTGCAAGTTTATTTCAACAATAATCGTGCGGTTCTGCGGTTCAGTACGTTTTGCGGTGGTCTTCTTTTTCGCGGGTTTTCCTTTTCTTCGAGGTATGGGCGGTTTCTTCAGTGAGGTTGGTGGTAGAATGGAACTGGTCGGTAGACATGAGGCTAACGGTTGTAACTACAACGCAGGACGGCTAAGGTGGATCGTGTGCGGATGCAGGGGTTCACAGAAAAATAAATAATTTGTGACGAGTGAACCAACACCTTCTAACGGAAAAGCTGGTAGAGTAACCAAGATGGATACCGAAGTATGCTGCGGTTGTCTTAAAACCTCATGGAAATATAATATGTAGAGACAACAACATCTGGGTTACCGCAAGGTGATAGTTTTATTGAGTCTACATGTTTCGCCACTTACGGTGGCGTCTTCAGGACAATTTAAACATAGAAAACAAATACTGAAGTACATAAAATGCGGTGCATATGGGGTTACAAAGGTTAACAAGACGTAACGTCACAATAATTGATTTGACAACTTTAAAATGAAAGTGAAAGTAAAAGTTAATAATGCATGGTCAGTGTCTTTTCCAAAATGGACAACACCTCACAGGACATTCCGTACCATTCCAAAAGGCTTCACTCGGAAAGAGGTACTACTTCCAATTGCGTCGGGAATGTTGTAAGATGTATGGTAGTCGCACATGTAGGGCATGGTGGAAGTTGTGGTGAATTGGTTACATTTTGCGGTTGTGGTACACTATCCATGTTGCAAGTTTATTTCAACAATAATCGTGCGGTTCTGCGGTTCAGTACGTTTTGCGGTGGTCTTCTTTTTCGCGGGTTTTCCTTTTCTTCGAGGTATGGGCGGTTTCTTCAGTGAGGTTGGTGGTAGAATGGAACTGGTCGGTAGACATGAGGCTAACGGTTGTAACTACAACGCAGGACGGCTAAGGTGGATCGTGTGCGGATGCAGGGGTTCACAGAAAAATAAATAATTTGTGACGAGTGAACCAACACCTTCTAACGGAAAAGCTGGTAGAGTAACCAAGATGGATACCGAAGTATGCTGCGGTTGTCTTAAAACCTCATGGAAATATAATATGTAGAGACAACAACATCTGGGTTACCGCAAGGTGATAGTTTTATTGAGTCTACATGTTTCGCCACTTACGGTGGCGTCTTCAGGACAATTTAAACATAGAAAACAAATACTGAAGTACATAAAATGCGGTGCATATGGGGTTACAAAGGTTAACAAGACGTAACGTCACAATAATTGATTTGACAACTTTAAAATGAAAGTGAAAGTAAAAGTTAATAATGCATGGTCAGTGTCTTTTCCAAAATGGACAACACCTCACAGGACATTCCGTACCATTCCAAAAGGCTTCACTCGGAAAGAGGTACTACTTCCAATTGCGTCGGGAATGTTGTAAGATGTATGGTAGTCGCACATGTAGGGCATGGTGGAAGTTGTGGTAAATTGGTTACATTTTGCGGTTGTGGTACACTATCCATGTTGCAAGTTTATTTCAACAATAATCGTGCGGTTCTGCGGTTCAGTACGTTTTGCGGTGGTCTTCTTTTTCGCGGGTTTTCCTTTTCTTCGAGGTATGGGCGGTTTCTTCAGTGAGGTTGGTGGTAGAATGGAACTGGTCGGTAGACATGAGGCTAACGGTTGTAACTACAACGCAGGACGGCTAAGGTGGATCGTGTGCGGATGCAGGGGTTCACAGAAAAATAAATAATTTGTGACGAGTGAACCAACACCTTCTAACGGAAAAGCTGGTAGAGTAACCAAGATGGATACCGAAGTATGCTGCGGTTGTCTTAAAACCTCATGGAAATATAATATGTAGAGACAACAACATCTGGGTTACCGCAAGGTGATAGTTTTATTGAGTCTACATGTTTCGCCACTTACGGTGGCGTCTTCAGGACAATTTAAACATAGAAAACAAATACTGAAGTACATAAAATGCGGTGCATATGGGGTTACAAAGGTTAACAAGACGTAACGTCACAATAATTGATTTGACAACTTTAAAATGAAAGTGAAAGTAAAAGTTAATAATGCATGGTCAGTGTCTTTTCCAAAA